AAAAGTAAGTAACTATAAAGTGTACCTTTGAAATCGTCTTGAATGGCCTGTTTTAGCCGCTCCACAAGCAAAATACTCTCCATCACAACAGAAAATAGGACTTCTAAAACTTAAGAATACCAATATTCTACACCTTAAAGCAAAATAACATAAAATAAAGCGTTTAAAATGAAGTTGGGGATCAAAAATTCCCGCGCATCAACTTGGCCGCCATTTTTGTTTATCACATGGAGAGAGCCTGGGAACYWTTACCCAGGCTCCTTTGCCATCGCAAACAAGATTGGAATGGGGGGAGGGGAGGGGTGGGTTACCGTTTTTTAGAACTCTTTTTTCATGTTTTTTCAACTATGAACAACATCAAGATGAAGCACAGAGGGATGAGAATGTAGAATAAAAGATGGTATATGACCTCACCGAAACCTAGTTCGGGCTGCATTTGATATTTGAGACTTTTTAAAACTCTTGCTACTTACCAATAGGCATTCATCTAAACTTGCTTAAACACAGTAGTTGTACTAATATTAGTATGATCTGTTTTGTGATGGGGATAAATTTTTCTTYAAATTCRCCTTGTGAGCACTAGCCGTCACGTGATGTAAATGGTATCAGGAACTTTTCGAATACAATGACGTCATGATTGTCATGGGAATTCATAGCTCAATGCGCATGCTCAGATGTGCAATGAAGCGTTTTTGCCGCCTCCGATCGGACTAGTGTGGACGCGAAACATTTTATCCGTTTTCATGTGTGGACGGAAAACTATTTTTCGGAGTCGGTGTGAAAGTTGCGGATTCAAATTTGTCCGGCATAGTGTGGACGGGGCCTAAGTTAAAACCAAGACAATGCTTGTTGTTCAGCGGTCCACACCATTTGTGCCGGGGGGGCGGGGGGCCAATGCAGCTTCAGGGACACACGTGCTGTCTTTGCAGTAATGGCAGCTTTGCGAGCCAAAAAATATTTCCACCCTCCATCCTCTGGGTTGGTTGTCAAAAGATGATGGAATGGTTCACAGAAAAGAAGGATTTCGTTTAACTTGTCTAAGACGATCTTCTCCCTTAAGGTGTTTTCTAAACAATATTAAAATATTTGCAGGTTCTGCCCTTTTGTAGGCCACAAAATAAACAGTTTTGCGTTATGCATGTCACACTACTTGTGAATTTGATCTTGCGCAATGACGCAACGAAAGACAGGAAAACACAGCTTATAAGCCTGAAGCGAGATGACGTTTTACCCCTGTCTCTAGACCATAATCCTTTTCACACTGCTTTTGTTCTTTAATTATGACTATTGTTCCTGTATTCTCTAAGGAATCAAAAATTTTAATATGAAAGAATTTTAAAAACTATTATGGTATAGAGCTGGGGGTAAAACGTCATCTCGCTTCAGGCTTATTGCTTATATGACTGATAACGTCTGATCGAGCTTTTACAGGCTTATAAGCAACCGACCAGGAATAAATCTTTTTTCACTAAAAAAAGATTACCTTATTGTTGAAGATTTAAATCTAATAAAGAAAAGTGCTCGATTCTAAAACACAATACGGCATGATAACATTTGTTTGGCTTCCGATGAAAATGGTTATCGTATGAGTTGGCAACATACGGTACTTACTTACAGCACGTGCATACGGTACGACATGCCGTAACATTGAAATGGCTTCCCATAAGAATGGTTATCGTATGAGTAGGCAACATGCGGTACTGACTTACAGCACGTACACGGTACGACATGCCGTAACATTGAAATGGCTTCCCATAAGAATGGTTATCGTATGAGTGGGAAACATACGGTACTGACTTACAGCACGTACACGGTACGACATACCGTAACATTGAAATGGCTTCCCATAATAAATGAAATTTATATCTACTTCATTTGTAATCATTTACGATAATAAACTCTTGTGGTTGAAAATATCCAACTATTTAATTCATTTGTTCTAATTCTACATTTTCAATATCATAACATAGAAAGAAAAGAAAAATAAACAATTATTAGTGTTTTGTTATATACCAAGAGTCAAAGAAAACAAAATAATTTTTTGATTTTTTTGATGTGGAAAATCATAGAAAAAATTACCTTTCCGTGTAAATCACTTTTGGTATTGTTATTACTGGTCAATAACATATAGTGTTGCCCGCTGAGAGCCGTTGCCGGGTAAATATCGAAACTTGTTCACGTTCACGTGATACCTTCTCGACCAATCATAGTAAGAGAGAAATGGACTTTGACAGTTGGTACATAACAATTAACACTTACTTATTGCCTTCTAACAGAGAATGCATTAAAACAAAGGGGTTATATTAATTGTCTATGATCTATCATCTGCTAAGCATCCGTGTTCTTCTTTATCATTTCTTGTTATAATTCATATTCTCACGGCTTGCTTGCTAATCCAAACTTGACTTGTGTAAGCATTCGCCCAAGAGAGAGGTACCGGGTAGCTCTTCACCTACTTCATCTACTTTACATGTTTCAGATCTACCCTTTATATATTCTAAACCYGTGGGAATTTCCCACGGTATTCTACAAACGTTACGTTAATACTGAGTAAATAAAAGATATAGATAACGATTATAAGGTATTGTTAAGATATAGATATAGTTAAGATATATAGTTTTGACTTTAACTCTAATAGTTGTGACTTCAATTTTTGGGTTCGTAACACTTGACATACTACAAGATCAAAAGATAAAAAGGAATTCCAATACATTGTGCAGCCAATTAAATGTTAGTATTCTCAGCCTAATTTTAACGTGTTTTTATATTTGTAGTCTATAACATGTCCACTCATTCGTTATCTGCTTTATCATTTAACAAACACGTTTTAAATGCTCTTGAGCGTTATATCATCACCAATGATAAAGAATGGCGCCCAGTATTTTGGATCTGTATACTTGGAAGTGTTTCTCATCTCGTTCATTGTCAGCTGTAGACTCGTACTGGCACTTTTCCCATTTTTCAGATTGCCATAAAACGATGTCATGAATTCGAGTGTTGCATCGTCATGGATGGCCCACAGAGACGCTACCACTGCACGAGCACCTGACGCTAGAAAGGCTCGACACATGCCAACTACTCCTTCAGCTCTGATTTCACCTCGTCCACTGTGACAGCAGCTTAACACAACTAACTGTGCACGTACTTGAGCCTGCTGTACATCAGCCATGGTCAGCATGTAATCTTCTTCATCTGGGRTCTTTGTTGCTCTTACCTCAGGAGAAGGTGCAAGTACGATGGCAGCTTTTGATAGGATACCATGTGCAGCAATGTGAACAACAGATACCCCTTTTTGTAGTTTCTCTAGGACAGCCTGTTTTGTTGCTGCTTCGCATATTAGTGGCTTAACACCAAGTTTATAAGCTATATTACGATTGCTTCTGCTTGTGCACCCAGCAAACCTTGAATATCCTGTTCTTCTCCATACATCATTACCTTCCCAACCAAAGGATTACCAATAATCAAAGGCTTGGCATAGCTGGTTTGGTCTGTTGGGAAGTCTTCAAAGTGCTTTAAAGTCGCTAATGAAGGAGCAAGTCTAATGCGTTTTGTCTCTGATAAATACTTTCCCGTGCGAGGATCTCGTAAGGCGGGAAAAGGCACTTTGTATAAGGGACCATCGGGAATAATAACAACCTCGTCTTGCTTCAACGATAGTATTCTATCACATTCTAAGATATCAAATAGGTCTTCTAGAGTAGATCCCTTGGTTTCAGCACTATTCCCATTAGATTCTCCTCTGTTAGAATCGAGGTTCAGCAGTAATGCCGTTGGTTGATTAAGTCCCTCGTATTCTTCTTTGCTTCTTCTTTGTTCTTTTTGAATATCTTCTTCTTTGTCCAAGGACCTGTTCTCACAGTCAACCACCTCACCAACACCCATTTCGTCAAACGACCTATCGACGTCTATCTGTAGGGAATCATTAAGACAACCTGAATAAAGGAAATTTGTCTCCCCTCCAAAAAAAAACTTCAGAAAACCATCAAAACAAAGTGAGTAAAAGGCAATGCTGAAGTCATTTCTTGAGACCTGAGACAAAACATCATTGCTCTCCTCTGGTTCCATCTTGAAGTTTAACATCATAAGATCTTTCAATGCTCTTGCACGGCAACGATCTAACACTAAAAGCGCTTCCTCGATCTGTTTGCCTTTGGTTAACAATATTGCCAACAGCTTATAACTATCGATATATTCGTCAAATATGGAGATCTTGAATTCATCACGACTACCAAGTGTGGTAAAGACCGCTTCAAAGCATCGTATAGCTTTTCTTAGATAATGTTCTGCCAAGTTCAGTTCAATGTTTAATGAAAAAAATAATTTACCAAAGGAATAATAAAAGTGGGGTAATAACCCATCAGTAACAGAACAAGACTCAGCAGTAGGTAGCCCTTCTTTGAAACAGCGTAAAGCCATGTCATTCTGACCCATCAACTGATACACGTTCCCGATTTCTGAGAGACAGAACATGTTGAAAGAACGACCCGAGCACGTCTCCTTTAATTGTTCAAGGCAGTTGATTGTTTTTTCATATTCTTTTTTAGAAAGATAAAAATTGTAAAGCCTCATTAAAGCTCTATGTTTCTTTGTTTTATCGCCTGTCTTCACCGCTTGGTCAAGATCCTGTAATAGCGCATCTTCAGAACATGTTGGTACCTCTAAGAATACCTTAAATGACTTGTCAAACGAACCAACTTTGGAATAAAGACAAACACGAATATCTTTGAAGTTTTCTTCAGTTTCTTTGTCTCCAAGCTCTGTAGCAATCGCCATGCCTGCATCTATACTCTGAGACACTTCATTCAACTGCATCAAGTCCATATATGCTTTAGCAAGAAAAATATGTCCGTACATCTGATATTTTTTGTCGCCAATTTCTTGAGAGATGTCCAGGCATTTCTTACCGTATTGGATGGCATTATCGATACTTTCCTTATCATCTGATATCAGGTATAAATACGAAAGATCGAGGCATGCTTGCTGTTCAATCTTTTTCTCGCCAATTTCTTGTGCCATGTTGATGCATTTCTTGTAATAATGCACTGCATCATTATACTGATCCAGTTTCTCATATATCTTTCCTAGACAAAAACAAGCATTTACCGCTGGTTTCTTCTCGAAACGAAAACGCTCCACGATATCGATGCATTGCTTGAAATTCTGAATGGCATCATCGTATTTCTCCGAGGAATAATATATCTCTCCAAGTAAGCTAT